CCCACAGAGCCCCTGGTGGTAACAGGAGTCATGGTATCCACGTGGCCCCCAGCAGCATCTCAGTCTACAGACACTAACATGGCCTCGGGGGACAGCACAGACTACTAATATCAACATAGCAGTGCACAGACCAAGAACACCCATATGGTCTCCAGAAACAGCATGGTCCATGGGTGTCAACACAGATTTTTCATGGTCCAGCCTCGACAAAAATACCTCTTGCCAGGGTAGGGGTATGGGGGTTAGAAATATAAGACTATGAAGACACATGGAAAATAATACTACAGAATCCATAGAAAAGTACCAGGAGGGTATTTCAGTGAATACTGAAGTAACCCACATTTATTTTTCCCAAAGTTTTTATACCCAATACAAATGGGGGTAGGGAGGTGGAGAGAGAATATAACAAAAACTTTGTATACTTGATAGAAAGTACAACTCAGACAGTTAATTCCTTTAACACTTTGAAACATCAAGTCATTAGCATTTTGTAGTTTAAGCAGTGAAGCTGCCTTAGTCCATGAACCCTGAAGACGGCGACTGCCCAGGTGACCTCATAGTTATAAAAGGAGCAGAAGTACATTTGCATATCCTGACCACCTGTCAGGATTGAATGGACCTACTTGTATGGGCTATCTTAATGTCAAAACAATTAAATAATCACATGCTGTGTGGGACATGCTAATATGCTTGTCAGCTACTTTGGGCAACCTACAACTCTCTAGCCATCAGACAAGGTGGAAACAGGCTCACATTTTTGAGCCTCCACACAACCTGTAGAGGGAGACAGAACAAATACAGCTGCAGCTGTAGCATGCACCATGTACAGCAACATAGCATGTGGTGGCAGAACACACCATGGAGGTTTTTTGAGATGGCCCAAACCAGAAAATACACTACTCTCCTTGGGCATCCTGCCATTCCTCAGAGACAGGCTGGTCATGGGGGTGCATTAGGGGGCAGAGCCTGTGAGAGATCCAGGCTGCTGTTTACCGTCCTGCCAGTGCTAGGTTTTTTGAGGTCCAATCAAGAAAATAAATAGGTCTCCATTACAGACATACTGATGTTTCTCAGAGTGAGGGTGATTGAATGTGGCGGTTGGATTAATGAGGACCAATGATAATAGGTGTTTGGACAAGTTTAATGACAAAACCAGACTCACAAAACCAAGGTTCCAGAGGAGTACCCAGAGTAGGCAGGAAGGGGCGCGCAGATGCGCGCCCAATTTATCAGTAAACATACGCCGGAGGGCAGCCCGCCCCAAGGGGAGGGCTTATCCCTACATCTCCCTCTTTTTGTCTAAATAAGACAGAACTAACCCAAATACAACTATAAACAATAATAATAAATAATAGCACCAGTCTGGGATATGCTCTTGTTGCCCAGAGACAAGGGGATCTTTCAGATAGGCAGGGCATCTGGGGACAGAATCTACTGGAGCTTCAGGTCTCTGCACATCTCTGTGCCCTCAATGAAGGCACCTTAGGTATGACCATCACACCTGCAGGCTGAGGGCAGTTGCACAGCAGTGGAGATTCCAGGTTGAGAACAAGAAAAAAAGAAAAACCCACCCTACGAGTCACCATCTTAAATCAATCTTCAAATATTTTTTAAAAGGTTCTGATAACAGAAATTACATACATGCCAAGGCACATTTACTGGAGAAAGAGCCATTCTTTCAGCCACTCTTCCCTGACTTTCTAACAGCAGGGCCTCACTCCAGCTCTGGCTTGGGTTGCAGCAGCTGTGGCATCCATGTCTGAGGCTCCTCCTTGGTGACTACAGACCTCTGGTGCAGCCTGCTGCAGGATTCCCAGGGCCATGGGGAGAGAGTACAGGAGAGACTCCACTCCTCTGTCTCCCTCTAGCCCTCTACAGGAGCCCTGTGTTTCACCCATCTTGACTCAATCCTGTCACTGTTTGTTTGTTTGTTTGTTTGTTTGTTTGTTTGTTTTGAGGGGGGGTTGAGAAAGGATTTCTGTGTGTAGCTTTGGAGCCTGTCCTGGCTCTTGTTCTTTAGACTAGGCTGGCCTCAAACTCACAGCAATCCACCTGCCTCTGCCTCCCAAGTGCTGGGATTAAAAGCATCTGCCACCACTGCCCAGCTCCTCTCTTCAATTTTAACAGTACCTGTCATTCAAAGGAAAAGCTAATGAAAAAAATTTCATTGTCTGGCCATAAATGTGGGGGTCACTAATACTGATGTGTTTGTAATTCATATGGCCAACCCATAGCAAAACACTTACTTAATTTAGAATCACCCATACTCTCTCAAGTACCCGTAAGTATAGACGTCTGTGATAATTTTCACCAATGATGTCACCACAGAATATGAATTGCTTGTTATATTTATTTAAGATAAAAAAATGCTGTAACTATAGATGATATGTTACAGATCTCTCATGATGACTTTGACACACTCTCTACACAAGCTGTGAATCTACTAAAGTATAGATTTGGGCTTGCTACAAATCCACATCCTAGGTATGTAGTCCCTGCTACTGCTGATCCCTCTGTCACTCAGGTAGGCATGGTTTCCAACTCCTCGGATGAGTGTCCTAAAACAAAATAAAAACAAAATGTCTGCAGAGTCGGCCACTGCATTTCCTCCAGCAATGATATCTCACTCTTGTCCACTGCTTGTTTATAGCACGAATCACAGAAAGGCAGAGGCCATGAGGAATCACCAACACTAGTGTTACACCTAGTGACTTTTTCATTCTCAGGGTTCCACTTGGTTATCATTCCTTTGTCACTCATCCATGTTGGACCCTGTACTGTGTGTACAAAGCATTTGACTGCTGCTCTCTGCCATGTTCACATGAACTTCATTCAGCCATGGGTAGCATTGCAAGGGGGTTTTCAATTCTATCTTGAAGAATTTCTCACATGTTCGAAAGGGGGTGAAAATGCACTTAGTTAATTCTAAAGGTCTTTAATGATGGACATTCACTGTTTCAGAGAATGGGTCTGTTCAAAATGGCTATGCTCACATCCAAACACTGTCCTGGGTGCCCTTTGATGATGAGAAGGTTCCCAAAACGCATGAAGTCTCTGCTTCAGTGACAGAAGCAGCTGTGCGCACAGCTGTTTGACAAGTCCTATCCAGCAGTTCTGCAGTGGATTCCTGGGGATTCAGAGCCCTTAGTGGACATCAGCAGTTCTGTCTGCATCCCACAAGGGCAGTTATCTACAAGGAGAGATTTCTAAGTGCTGAGAGCAGACAGCATCTTCCCCAGATGCCATCATCAGGCTAAAGATTTGGAATGAAACAACACTAGGTGACTCTGACAGATGTAAATTTGCCAAGATGTGGATACTGGGGACTCTATGTAACATACAACCAGACCCAAGGCACACCTCCAGCCCAAGGGTTTCTCCCTTTCAAGTTGAGTTCTCTTTATATTACTCAGCCTTTCAGCTTGCACAACAACTCACACAATCACAACACTTGAACACAGTAAAAGAAAAAGCTTTCTGAAAACATACAAGTTGTTATATTCAGTGTTGTCTGTCCACATCCAAGGCTGCTCTGATGACTCTCTGTGCAGTCCGATCCACGCAGCAGAATGCCCATATGTTCTATTCAGGAAATCCTGTCAAAAACACAGAAAGCAAAGACATGTGTCTCTCAGTTTCAGATGAGCCTTGAGTCTCTGTCCTACAGCCTCCTCTTGGGATGGTAGCAGGTTTGAACTGAGGGCCAGGAACTTTAGAGCCTAAATAACCCTCAGTTCTCAGTGAATGCATTTTCCTGTCATTAACCGTAGTAAGCTGACAGATACCCCTTTTTCTGGGGCTGTAAAAGTCCCTTGTTAAGTCTGTATTTACAGTTATTAACAGCTGTTAACTTAAGTTTGCAACACCCGCCGGCTCAGACAAAGACTTGTATGACCACCATGAATCTCAAACGTATGTTTGGCCTTGCACGTTGAGTATTATTAGCACTATAGGAGAGAATATCTTTGGAATGTCTCAGCGCTACAGTCAGATGTGTTACCATCACAAATGGCACATGCTAACATGTACCCCATGTGCCCAATGCCTAGGGTGGAAACCTTACTCATGTTCCTGCTTTAAGCTCTCTATGGCAAGGCAAAACATATTCCACAAGTGATGTGGGATTGATTTCTTATTAATAAAGAAAATGCCTAGGCCCATTTGATAGGCCAACCCTTAGGTAGGTGGAGTAAACAGAACAGAATACAGGGAGAAAGAAGCTGAGTCAAGGAGTCGCCATGATTCTCCTACCGGACACAGATGCAGGTTAAGATCTTCCCTGGTAAGACACCTCGTGGTGTTACATGGATATTAGAAATGGGTTAGATCGATATGTAAGAGCTAGCCAATAAGAGGCTACAGATAACGGGCCAGGCAGTGTTTAAAAGAATACAGTTTCAGTGTAATTATTTTGGGGCATAAGCTAGCCACGCAGGCGGCCTGGTGGCGGTGACGCAGCCTTGCTGCTCTTATCACAACACACATCAGCAAACAACAAACCAACTCCTGATCCTTTCTTACCAGCTCCTCCAGATTGTCAAAGTGAGTTAGATGGGCCACCTGCTCCATGCAGGAGGTCTGGCTGGATCTCCAGTTACTTGTGTTTTCAGACAAATAAAAACATTTACGTCCAAATGCAATCCAGTCTTTTGGGCAGGTAACATTCCCAGCTTCAGGGCTCACAATGGCCGGGTT